ACATTTACGAAATTTCGTAAATATCGAACTTTTTAAAAGGAAAATTTTGTAATTATTTTAAATAACGAAACGCAAAAACCCCCAAAAAACGAATCGATTTTAGAAACAAATTTTTCCGTTGTTACCCAGGCCTATTGGTAACCACTGGACTTGATAAATATGAGATGAGCTAGTCCATCAGAATTGTAACTTAATGAGATACAACTTCACTCATCTTGCAGTGTAACTGTTTCAGTTACTCTTCTAGTTATGGTGTGGCCTCATTAAATGGTGAAGAATCAAGTTCCGGGTTGTGTTGTGAATTTGCTGGTGGCTTCTTCTCTCCTTTGGGTGTAGAGGTGATACAGAGATGGACAGAGGAGTGTTATACCATAGTGTATGAGCCACTGTTTTATAGTATTTAGATTTTCGGTACTGTTCCATTATCTGGGCGACTCCAAAAGGGGGGCTAGACATAGAAGGGTGATCAATTTTATTGGGGGGGGGGGTGATTGAAAGAGGAAAGCAGTTTCCCATTTTTTGCTGGTTTTTCCCCTCCTTTCCCATATCATAAGTGGTGGTTGTTTCAATGACTGCAACATGGATGGGCGGCAGCGGCGGGGTGGAGGGATAACAGGAAAACAGGGGCAAATGGTTTAACTCATTCATGCCCCCCCCCATAAAATGGACTATCCTTCTCTCTGCCAGAATAATGGAATAGTATCAGATTTTTTAGGGGCCGCAGTGGTGCAGCAGGTTTAACTGCTAAGCTGCAGAACTTGCTGATTGGAAGATTGACAGTTCAAATCTGCAGATGGAGTGAGCTCTTGTTGTTAGCCCCAGCTTCTGCCAACCTAGTGTAGCAGCAGATTGGAGAGATAATACCAAGAGCGATCCTTTCTGGGAGACAGAAAAGTACGCTTATTTTCAGCTGAGACTCTGGTGTGGAATTGCGTCCAAAATTAAACTGAGCAATGATAAAGGTGTTGTCTTTCCCTTTTATACATCTTCAAATGCAGGCAATCAAAGAAACATGCTTCTACATACATTAACAACATTACTACATCACCTTTAGCATCATAGAAATATCAAATTCTATCTTCCAACATGCAAGAGGCATGCCTCTATATTTTTTCAAAGAGCAGTTTACAGCTTACACCAATCCATCAAGGGGCTTACTTTGACCTGTCAGGAGGGAGAGAGATTTCTTACTTTTTAGAAGTAAGAAGGTATGGCCTAGGCTAAGCTGTACCAGTCTCTGTATAGATAACATGCCCCCCTTCTCCTCCCCCTTTCAACACAGATCTCCTTCAGCATGCTTTCTGGCCTGTCAGCTTGGCTTTTCTAATACGGAGAGAACCTGATTTTTCTTACATTTCAGTGCTTCTAAAGTACATACAATATATGTATAAATATCTATATTTCCAATACTTCCACATCACTAACAGTTCGAAAACATGCAAATATGAGTAGATCAATAGGTACCGCTTCAGCAGGAAAGTAATGGTGCCTAATGCAGTCATGCCAGCCACATGACCTTGGAGGTGTCTATGGACAAAGCCGGCTCTTTGGCTTAAAAATGGAGATGAGCACTACCCCCAGAGTCAGACACAACTATACTTAATGTCAAGAGGAAACCTTTACCAATCAGATTTTTTAATATAAGAGACATTAAAATATTTATATTAATTTTTCTGAAAAAATGGTAATGAATAGTTTATTTTAAAGTGTAAACTATAAAAATGATAAGTAGCTACTTGTGGGCCTTACAACTATGACTGTAACAAGATTGCTTAAAAAATAACTTTGCTGGTGAGTGTTTCACTAAATGGGTAGTTCCTTTCAGATTGATTACAGATACACCCAGTACTGAGCACATCACACCAATATTAAAGTCACTTCACTGGCAGCCAATCGGTACAAAATTTTGGTTAATAAAATTATTATTATTATCATCATTATCATCATCATCATCATTGTTGTTTTACTGACACAAAAACACAGTATGTCACAGCAAACAAGATATATCTGCTGGATTTCATATCACAAAATCACACGTCGAACACTTCCCAAGCGCTGTTATTGTTGTTGTTGTTGTTGTTGTTGTTGTTGTTGTTATTTAATCTTTGGGGGAAAAACTTGTTGTAAGTAATATCAAATGTCTGTTTCCTTAAAAGTACCTAACAGTCTTCTGACAGTAAAGGACAAGCTTACTAGACTGACAAGTTGGAATGAAAAAATTAAGTTGAAGTGCTGTCTCTTTGAAAGGTCAGGTCTTATTTTCTACAGTTTTCTTCTTTCTGACGATGTGAAACAGACAAGGTTTTCTATTTGTTTTTATCTGTATTATTCTTTTCCCCACCTATATATTTTCTTCTGCCTTATATTGGGTAGTTGTCACTTTTTTCATGTCTTAATTTCTTCCATATAAATAATCGGAAGGTAAGGAAATATATTTTTTTATCCTGCATTTAACAGTTTAGGTTATTCTTGAAGAAAAAAACACACAATTGCCTTGAACTGGCTTCACTAGTCTAGCAAGAAGAATTCTTTGTTCTAAATAAATCTCCTGAATAATAAAAGTTTGAAAAATGAAATGTAAAGGACTCTTTCTAGAAAGGACTCTTTCTAGATAGTACATATTAACTTTTCCTTACCTATTGCCTAGTTCTCTTGTCTTCACGAATTGTGAGATCATGCACATGTATTTCATAAAATCATAGAAGAGTTTGAAGAGACTCGTGGGCTATCCAGTCCAACCCCCTGCCAAGAAGAAGGAAAATTACATTCAAAGCATCCCTGACAAATGGCCATCCAGCTTCTGTTTAAAAGCCTCCAAAAAAGGATCCTACACCACACCCCGGGGCAGAGAGTTCCACTGCTGAACAGCACTCACAGTTAGGAAGTTCTTCCTCATGTTTAGGTGGAATCTCCTTTCCACCTGAATTTATTTTCCACCTTTCTCCCACTGTGTGACCCAAAATAATTAACAATGCAAACAAAACACAATCCAGCTGAAAGCATAGTATTCAGGTTCTGTAACATGTTTATTTAATTGCTCAAATGATCTTTGCATCCCTGACCCCTTAAATATCCAGATAAGGGCCTGTAGCCCCAAGTAGTAACCTTTCCAAGCTCTGCTCCATATTTTTTCATTTTTTTCTTTTTCTCTGAGAAATTCAGAAGTATCACTTGCTTCATCTTACTATGACATATAATAATTTTTAAAATGCTTTGGAATGGCATGAATAGCCAAGGCTTCAAAACAGTATATTTATTTAGGCATAGGTAATGTGAAAAGAAGAGCAATATCTGTTGCTTTTGATTATATATGTATTACAAAAAATGTAGTGCAAAAGTTCTCGAGGAGTCAGGCAGACCATAAGAAGATGGAAAATAAAAAACTTTCCACAGGATGGAAGAATTTGTCCCAGTGGATTCCAAAACATTGTATTTCATCGCCTAATAGTCACCCATAATGAAATAGTTGCAAATGGATGGGTGGCATAGTGAGTGCGTGGGTGAGTGAGTGAGTGGGAGGGTGGGGAGGGGTGTTATCAAGTTGTTTTCAACAATGTTTTTTTGAAAAATTACTGTTCGGGTTCGGAACAAAAAAGGGGGGGATCCTTGCATAATAGCCGCATCTCCCCTTTAAAAAAGGAGGGAGGGGTGCGACTAAAATGTTGATGAATTACAGAATGTAAATGGCTCCAATCCCTTTCAGACATGTGTGTTGACATCCATCTTGGCTCTCAGTAGCAGATATGTATATCTTCCCTCTTCAAGGCTGTAGCTTTATTAAAGTTCTGCTTCCAACAAATTAAGTCAGCAGCATGATTCTGTGGCCCTTTTCCATTGGGATCTGTTTATTCTAAAACAGCCAAAATAAAAACTACTGCCCTTATATTTTAGGTACATTTGTTTTCTTAGTTTAGGGAGTCTGAAATACCATCTTATTGGATTTTTAAGGAAAGTTAGTAGAATGAAGTTCGGGATATGTATTTATAACAAGGAGAAGAAATACTTAACATGATATCAATCTCTCACTTGCACAATCAGTGTTTCATCATTTGTTTGTACAGGTCGAGCATCCTTTCTCCAGAATTGCAGAATTCAAAATACTCCAAAATGTGAAATGGTCCACATGGGTAGCTGTGATAGTGATACCTTGTTTTTTGATTGTTCAGTATGCATTTTGTTGCATGTACAAAATTATTTAAAATTACTTTCAGACTATGTGTACAAGAAATATAAATGAATTTTGTGTTTAGACTTGGGACGTATCGCCAAGATACCTGATTATATATATGCAAGTATTCCAAAATCCAAAATATGGTACACTTCTGGTTCCAAGCACTGGAAAAGGCATACTCAACCTGCACTGGCTATTGTGAAATATCCTTTCCCAATTTAGTGCTTTCTGGATGTCTTGGGTTGCAGTGCCTACTGTCTCCTAGTCAATGATGGCTGGGGATAATGGGAATTGCCATTCATCGCATATGAGAAGCACAAGGTTCAAAGATCACTTTATATCATCACTCTATTAGTGGATTCCTCCAGAGTCTTTCTGGTATAGTTCAGTGCCAATTAATGCTCCTCTTTAAATATTGATAAATGCTTGTGCACACAGGAAGATTATTCCATGGGGTTTTAAGAAAAGAATCAAATGTATGTCTTGAGCCATATGAGGCAACAGCCTATTCCCACTGAATGATGCCGGTACTTAGTCATCCATAAACACAGCTTCATCCAGGCTGCACATTTCTGTCCAAAACCGAGAAGGTTTTAAAGCAGCATCTTTAAGGTGATATAGAGCAGTTGTATGAAATCAACCAGTCCCAAAGAAGCCCAGAACCTCTGGAGATTGGGCCCTTTCACTGCAGGCAAAGATTTGTTCAGCTCATTCAACACCATTTGAAAAGCTACATTAACAGTATTCTTATAGGTCAAGCTGCAAATCCCCAACAGGCAGATTGCAGCTGAAAATCAAGAGAATGCCTTCCACTCTGAAAACCCTTTTAGAGCCTCAGGGCAGTTTTGAAAGTGAATTAAACAATTAGACGAGCTTTTATGAACAACAAAAATGGATTCAAATATTTGTTTGGTTAAGAATATGCTTGTACTATGTGCATTCTAGCATCAGCGCAGGGACTAATTGTGAAGCAAAACCACATTTTGTCAGAGTGACTTTGCTCAGTTTCTAACCAGATTTTTTTCCTTTCTCCAAAACAGATGCAAACTCTTCAAGAGACTTCAAGAGGAGGTTAGTGGATGTTAATAGTTGAGCTGTTTAATTTTATTTATATTTATTATTTGAAGTGTTAGTGGTTTGATAGATTAAAATACAATCAAGAAGTATTGTTTAGTCATTTGCCTTGTTATTGACTCAAACTTGGAGCCCCAGTGGCGCAGTGGGTTAATTTTATTTATTTATTTATTTGCATTATTTCTACCCTGCTCATATCAGCCTGGAGGCGACTGCTGAGCTTCTGAACTTGCTGACTGAAAGATAGCAGATTCGAATTCAGGAAGCGGCATGAGCTTCCACTGTTAGCCCCAGTTTCTGCCAACCTAGCAGTTTGAAAACATGCAAATGTGAGTAGATCAATAGTTACCACTCTGGCGGGAAGGTAATGGCGCTCCATCCAGTTGTGTCAGCCACATGATGTTGGAGGTGTCTATGGACAACACCAGCTCTTTGGCTTAGAAATTGACATGAGCACCAACCCCCAAAGTCAGACATGACTGCACATAATGTCAGGGGAAAACCTTTACCTTTACCTTGCTCAAACTTGTTATCTAAAAGTAGAACAGATTCTGTCTTGAAAGTGGACAGGTTGTCATGTATAGCCAAACATGAAATTTAGGAGCACGAAAACTCTCTCATTTACTATTAAAATGTTCAATTGTGGCAATGCACAGTCCATAGGTTTTGCCAGAGCTTGGGAAAGAAGCTTTTTAATTAAGCCATCCAGAATCCTTCAGCCAACAACAGCCTAGATGTAGGTGGGATAATACCTTTTCCAAACTTGGCCCATAGTTATCAGAAAGACACAAATCCATTAAGCAGTTTGGAGCAAAATAAAAAGTCGTGGAAAACAGGTAGGATCTTTGCAAAACGTAAGAATGTCTGAAGTCAAGGGAGTTAGTAGAAAGACTTTCAGAACACCAGACGGAGCACAGAGAACCAGGAGAATTGCCTTGCAAATTGCCCTTCTAGTGCTCGCTGAACCGATTACACTTCTCTGGCATCCCTCCTTTGCTGCAGAATGTAGATCCTTAAATGGGAAGCCCTTTAGCTTGAACTTAACATTGCACTAATATGAGACATTATGCCTGTTTGGTCTGCGAACTCCATGAAAAGAGAGGGCCTTGGAGGCATGTGATCTGAGTTCAATTGTGTAGTCTTTGGTCTGGGCTGAGGGGAATAGGAAAGGTTCAGTTCAGTGGTAATGTTTGGGCACAGGATATCCTGTGTTGTTCCATATTTCCAGACCTGTGGTTGGTCTATATTTGAAAGTTTAGCCTGATGTAAATCTTCCATAGAACAGCCCCACATGCAGCATGTTTGTGCTGAATCTGAAGGCATTGGGGTGGCCTGCATTTGGCCTATTCCATGCCATTTTCACCACTGTTCTTACCCAGCTTTCAAGGTCAATCTGAACTCTTGGCTGTCGGGGGTACCTCTGCTGACATCAAAACAGGAAACCTGTGCATCCAGCAAGAAAGGAGTTGCTCTCCCAGCTCAGCTGCCTCTGCTGATGTCAGTACAGGAGGCACAGGCATAGTATATCCCCTTCCCTGCATGATGAGTAAGGAAGTAAAGTAATGGCACCAGTGTCTGGTGGATCAGATCAAATTGGACTTGATCTCACTGTCCAAAGCTGCAGAATACTCCAGAGTTCCCAGCAACCTTCAGAGTATCTCCCAACTTTGCCAAAAGCAGAAGTCTATTTAAAGCAAGCAAACAAACAAACATAAAGCCTACATGATATTATTATACAGCAGAAGTCACAGGGATGGCCAGTTTTCCATGTGGAATGAATACTTGGGCCATAATGTTATCGAGCCATGCAAACCTCAACCCCCGTCCCCGAAAGATTTATAGTGTTCTAAGAGACTACAAATAAATATATTATTTTTATTTTTATTTTTATTTTTATTAAAAACCTTTTCTGGAGGTTCAAAGTTGCGAAATTCCAAAGATTTAAAGGACTGGCAACTGACCTAGCAGCAGATGTACCCCTCAGATTGTGTCTAACTCTTTAATAAATTGTATCAATTTGATAATTTCTATGTAACTTATATCTTTCTTATGGTGTAATGTATCAAATTTTTATAAGAAGTGTATAGATTGTTTCTTATATGTATCAAAAAGTAATTTGAAGGCAGCCACCACTTCATGCCTCCTTTTTGCATAATCTCCTGGGAAAACGGACATTGGCCAGATCCCTCCAGCTATTTCCCAAGCCAGATAACTATCAGGCCTGTTGTGTATGTATAGATAGATGATCCTCTTTGCCAGCAAGATAAGCTCAGGATGTTTGTCCACTTAACCTGAGGCTAAGAGTCTGTCGCTCTTGCGGAAGAGGATGTTTAATACATGTGTATTCATTAACTTTCTATTCCTTGATCACCTAAGATCATCACCTTTATCTTTTGAGCTCTACACCTTTGTTTCATATGGAACTGGACATTTGAGTTAACCAAAAACTCATCAACATATCTGTACTTTTGTTTCTTCATAGGCTGCACCCTCTCAGGGGGTGCCTCTGAAGCAGATTGGCTCCTTGCATAGATCAATCCCTGACTGCCATTCTTCCCACCATGGGAATCCCTGCCTGTTGGCTGTGATGTCAAGAGAACCCCCAGCCAATCCCCACACAGATCCTTGTTGGGCTCTTTCTCAGCCAATCAGGAGAGGGAGCAGGACATCTGAATAGCTGTCAGAACTGTATAAGATGTCTTGCATTTCTCCGTATGTTTATGCTTGTATCATTTGAAGCAAATTGTTGTACTTACATCCTTTTTGGCTGAATTGTAATAAACCTCTGTGATTTGTCTTCAACCTGATGAGCATGTTTTCTCTGTCAGGACAGAGAAATATCTGGTTTCACTTATACTCACTGGGCATCGACCTTTCTAACCTCGATCCTAGCTGAAATCACTAAAATGACATTTTACAGTAGTTTGCAATTATATGGAGAGTGCCATCTGAACTGTGTTCTAGTCTGCTTGCTGTGCTTTCATTAAATCCCTCTCAGGTTTCAGCAGCGATCAGTGATAGCTGTGCTCTTCATATTTGGCAGAGAAGTTTAGAAACCTAGCAGTTGGCCCAGCATGAGGGATGGTGATTGATGCCATACCTTCATTGTAGCATTAGGGGGACAGAAGGATGGTTGCTAAATCTCTGTGTGCACACACTCCCTTACTTTAAAGCTGAAATGAATATTCATTAATATGTGACATGAGTAGTGAAGCTGCCTGTGGGACTCATGGAAAAAGATAAATTAGAAAAATACATCAAGCAGACAAACAACAGGTTTATCAAGTTATTCTAATGCAAAAGCTGCCCTTCAGAATTTGTATCTGAAGAACTGGGTTTATATCCATGAAGGTTAATGTAAAACTAAGAACAGCCTTAAAGTTAGCCTTAAAGGGGCTGCTACATTCCCTTGCCCCTTCCCTATGACTTCCTCCATTACTGCAAGAAACTAACATGTTTACTTCTTTGAAAATCATCATGAAGGCTAAAGATACACTTAGTTATTAAAATGTAGGTAGGTAAAGCCTCTTGCAGGCTTTTATTCGATAAAGAAACAAGCATGGAATTAAATGCAGATTGTACACCTAAGTTTGGTGGCCACAGACCAAAGTTTGAATCCTCCTTCTCTCAACTATGGAAATCTACTGGGCGACCTTGGGCAAATCATGCCCTCTCAGCCTTAGGGGAAAGCAAAGGTAAAACCCCTTTGGACAAATCCTGCCAAGAAAACCCTGTGACAGGGTTGCTATAAGTTAGAAACAACATGAAGACACACAACAACTATGTCCCTCAACTTTTCCTACTAGATATGGGGACATTGTCAGTCCAAGAAGAGACTTTTTCCCAGTCAGAAGTTGGGATGTCAACTTTTGTTATTTTTTGTGCAGTTCTCATAAGATAAGAAATGATATGGAAACCTATGCTCTTATTGTTATTGTGATTAAATTCTGTCTGTCACTCAGTCTATAATATTGGCACATGAAAAATATTAATAATATCTAATATAAATAAAAATGTAATGTTCATTTATGGGATTAACATAACTCAAAAACCATTGGACGAATTGCTGTCAAATTTGGCCACAAGACACTTACTAACCCAAGGAGTGACCATCACTCAAAAAAATTGAATTTGGCATTTGGGAGTTGTAGTTGCTGGGATTTATAGTACACCTACAATCAATGAGCATTCTGAACTCCACCAACGATGGAATTGAACCAAAAGTGGTACACAGGACTCCCATGCCCAATAGAAAACACTAGAAGGGTTTGATGGGCATTGACCTTGAGTTTGGGAGTTGTAGTTCGCCTACATCCAGAGAGCACTATGGACTCAAACAATGATGGAGCCGGACCAAACTTGGCACGAATATTCCATATGCCCAAATATGAACACAGATGGAGTTTGGGGGGAAATAGACATTGACACTTGGGAGTTGAAGTTGCTGGGATTTATAGTTCACCTACAATCAAAGAGCATTCTGAACCCCACAAATGACAGAATTGGGGCAAACTTCCCACACAGAACCCCCATGACCAATAGAAAATACTTAAGGCAATCCAGTCCAACTCCCTTCACCAGGGCAAGAAAACGTAATCAAAACCTTCCTGACAAAGAGCCATCCAGCTATATTATATAGAATAATATGATTCACACAGAGAGAGATATAGTATCATAGATTTGAAAGAGACTCCTTAAGAAGGACAATTATATGTTGCATGTTCCAGAGTAGGCAAACCAGACAATCTCTACATCAACACTGACAAAGAAACAACAAGAAATACTGTTTACCCACAAGCATAAAGACATTACATATATTAGAAATTAACACCTTCTCATTACTTTCCAGATCACCAGACTCAGTCACAGCAATGTGTGGCAGAGGACGGCTAGTAAATAATATTTTTAGACTTCAGGTGGCAAAAAACCCCAAGAAAGAACCTTTCTGAGGACTTTTGCTTGCTTTCTCCTTAGTCCACAAATAGATTTAAGGACTACATTCTCATCCACTCCAGCTTAGAATCATGCTTTTCCTATCTCTCCACTTACATGGCCATGCAATGGCTGGCAGGAAAGTCAAAGCAGAAGAGTAAGGTGGGCTGTCACCAGCTTAGTCTGCATACCATGATGACATTATCATGGTGCAGGACCTCCAGAAGGTCTTGAAGGTTGTTTTTACCAGTGTATACTACCAATGACAGGTAGGCCACCCTTTGTTCCCACCATATTACTAGGCAAGCAGGAAGTAGTAGGTTGGTGCTAGTTGACCAAGGCTGTAATGGCACCAGCAGTGATAGCTGGCAACAGAAAATCCTCTTTTCTTGGGCACTGAACAAGGAGTATTGTAGTGGTCTCTCCTACCACAGTAGTGGTCTCTCCTACCACAAAGTTGTGGTGGTAGGGCAAGGAAGTGGCGACAGGTAGGCCACCCTTTGTTCCCACCATATTACTAGGCAAGCAGGAAGTAGTAGGTTGGTGCTAGTTGACCAAGGCTGTAATGGCACCAGCAGTGATAGCTGGCAACAGAAAACCCTCTTTTCTTGGGCACTGAACAAGGAGTATTGTACATCCCTAGCTATGATAGCTAGTAGCCAGTGAGCCTCCCTGCTTACCTATTCTCTTCTTCTCAACAGTTGTTACAAAGTAGTGGTCTCTCCTACCATAAAGTAGTGGTGGTAGGGCAAGGAAGTGGCGAGTCAGTGAGATACTTTCTCCCTCATGCAAGAAATCTTTGAAAACAAACACAGCAGGGAGAAATTTGTTTAAATGATTATTCGCCCCTCCCTTTCAGGAATGAATAATTTAAATAAGTACGTCTAGAGAATATGATAACTTGTTGTGGAAGTTCGTCAGCAACCAATTTGTTCCGAGTGAACAGGCTGGATTGAAGCAGCTGCCTTTTGTCAAGCTTTCAAGCAGGTTGTTTGGGAATTCAGTTTATTGGAAGTTAATGTAGACATAGGTTTGTTCCTTCCTGGCATGGTGAAGCTGAGTGCTAAAATGGACAATATGGCTTCTATGTCTAGGTAGGGCAGGGCTATCTTTCCTACCATCATATATGAGACCTGGTGCCTTTAGGGTATTTATGGCATTCAGGACTACCAAGCTGTAATATCTGAAGAGAAAATATGGCACTAGGAGATTTGGCAGTGTACTCTCTAAAGTTAATAATTGACTGAGGGGATCAAATTAGGAGTTCTACTTGATGTTAATTGGTTTTTAAACTGGGAAACAGAGATGATTATGTTTCACTACTTCCTCTATCCCTGCAAAACCTTTAAGGGTGTTCCACATTTCTGCTAAGCTATCTATGTCATTAGAAAGGGAATATTACTCATGCATGGAAAGCACTCAGCAAACAATTACTCTTCACAAGGTGCTACATGGAACTGAGCTGCCCACTTTTCAGTGGTAGGGGGAAACATGTGTACATGAGTAAGTATTGCTCCTGACTATATTACCATGGTCAGATTGCATTGATTTTGCAAGAGATTTCTAGAGACAATGCCTCTCTAGGATTCTCTAGGTCCTTCAATGTGGTCCTACAGTCAGCATCCAGTGGTAGTTGACCATAGAATCATGCTGGAAGACCTAGAAATCCCTATAGAGGTGTTCTCTCAGGTAAAAATCCAGCATTTTTTTAAAAAATTATTATTATGAACAAAGTATAAAACAGTAAAAAAAAGAGATAAAAATAAAGAATAGGAGAGATAACATTTCAAGTGGGGGAACATTATAGTTGAAGAAAAGTAGGAAATTGCAAAAAAGAAAATAAAGGGGAAAGAAGAGAGGCAAGAAAAAAGTTTAAAAAAGTTTTTGAACAGCTTCTGTTCTTCTTCCTTTCGTTCAAGTCTGTCAGTTTTCCCCTTCTATCAAGTTTTCCTTTCCCAGTAATAATCTATTTTAGTGTGCCAATTTCTTTCCCTTCTTGTCCTATAGTTGGTGTTATATCCTCATATATTCTTCAAAAATTGACCAATCCGTCGTTTTCTTGCTTTTGCCAGTATTATTAACAAAAATGTAAGTCTATCTATATCCTTCATTTCTAATATCTTGTCTAGCCAAAGTTTCTTAGCTGGTATAATGTCTAGTTTCCAAGCTTTTGTGTAAACCATTCTTGCTGCCGTAGTCAGGTAAGTAAGATCTTTTCTTTACTGCTATCAGCAAATAGTTCAAAGTCAAATATCCCCAGTAAGTAATGTTCAGGTTTCATGGTCCATTCTGTTCTTAGAATTATTTGGCATTCTTTATGTATCTTTTCCCAATAATTATTTACTTTTTTGCACGACCACCACATGTGGTAGTATGATTCTTCATGTGTCTTACATTTCCAGCATTTGCTGTCTGCATCTTTATACATCTTTCCCAACTTTTTCAGTGTCATATACATTTTTTAATTCATGGTTTTTCATTTTCATGGGGGTCCTATGCCCCTATCCCCACTGTAAATATATTTTGGAAACTAAACTTGGAATATACATTACCTGAGCAAATTAGACTTTTCACTTTATTGGATGGGATATAAAATTATAGCACTGGGGATTGGGGAGGGGGCATGCAGAAAACTTCATTTCACATTCAAAAAGTATTGAATTTGAGGATGCATTGCAGATTTTTGCTGTGCAATCACTCTGTCAGAGAAAACTTGCATTCCCTCCTGAACTCGCTTCCTTTTCTACAAAATTAAGAAAAGCAATCTAAAGACAAGCCTTAATTAGCATACTGAGGGCAGCTTATTATTTATGAGATGGAAATCAAGACCCTGGATGACTGAACTCATTATAGACTGTTTGGAATAGTTC